TAATAACGGACATAGTCACGCCTATCTCCGCCGTTCTAACTAATGGGCCAAAAATTGTGCTCTACTGGAGCAATCCAAAAGAGCCGCAAGTGGTCCCGCCCACAAAAAAATTGGGGAAAACGCATCTGCGCAAAAATTCACAGCAAGTAAACTAGACTGGTCCCATTCACCCCCCTCAGCATTGACACACATGTGGAACGGAGCTTTGGGCCAAGAGCCAACTTTTGGACCATCCTGTAAAGACATTTTCCAGAGGTCTGTCAATGCTATATGTTAGCATTGGCTAATTCTTATTCTGGGTCCACCCCCACAGGCCCGGGGTGGTATTGCAGCATGTCAGCGCATGTCATTGTGGACACTTTTGAGCCGGGACCCGCCCACACTGAGTGGGACATGCCCAGAAGACCTTCCCTGGGAGACGTCCAGGAGGCATCAGAAACAGCCACCTCAATCTGCGAGAGACCAGAGAGAGACCCTGTGGTCTCTCTCTCTCTCCGGTCTCTAACTCTCTTTTCTCTCCAGTCTCTCTCACCGGCCTCTACTGACTCTAGAGTGATGTCACACTCCTCCTCATGACCCGTCCATGGAAACCCAGTTACTGTCACAAACCATTTCTCTCAGAGATAATTAGAAGAATCTATTCCAATCGTTCATAAATCTTTCCTTCAGGTCATTTCCTGTTTACAGATGTGAGAAAGAGCCTCGTGATTCCAATTATTACACCAGGAAAACTGAGCCTCCAGTGTATTTCTCTGGTCTCTCTCTCTCTCTCTCTCTCTCTTAGAGTCTCTCTCTTTGGTCTCTATTTTTTTAATTTGTCACATGAGAGATACCAGAGAGGCCAGACAGAGACCAGAGAGATCATAGAGAGAGAGAGAGCAGAGAGAGAGACCATAGAGAGAGAGACCATAGAGAGAGAGACCAAAGAGAAAGACCGAAGAGAGCGTTTTATACAGAGTTGCGACTTGTGGTTTTAAAGTTACGTAGCCGAGCTTTAACCAAACTGTGTGAGAGTCAGAGTAACTGTGTGGTTTCAGTCTCTGCAAATCTGAAGAAGGGGAAGCAGACATGTTGCCCTCTGTCACAGGAAGCCAGCTGACCACAGACGACTCTTCTTCTGACTCACAGGTTGTTCTTGTGCTTTAAGACCCAGAGAATGTTCCAGAAAGTACTGTACCTCTGGCCTCGAACTTTTAAACATCTCAAATGACTTTTGAGCCGTTTCCTCTGTGAAACCACTGTTGTGATAGTGACAAAGACAAATAGCAGATTATGAAGACTGCTCTCTGTTCTCCCCCTCTCTCTCTCGGGCATGTCCCTCTGACTCTGGTCTCTCCCTCTCTCTCTCTGGTCTCCATCCCTCTCTCTCTCTCGGGTCTCTCCCACTCTCTCTCGGGTCTCTCCCACTCTCTCTCGGGTCTCTCCCACTCTCTCTCGGGTCTCTCCCCCTCTCACTCTGGTCTCTCCCTCTCTCACTCTGGTCTCCCTATCTCTCTGGTCTCCATCCCTCTCTCTCTCTGGTCTCCATCCCTCTCTCTCTCTGGTCTCCATCCCTCTCTCCTTGGTCTCCATCCTCTCTGGTCTCCATCCCTCTCTCTCTCTGGTCTCCATCCCTCTCTCTCTCTGGTCTCCATCCCTCTCTCTCTCCATCCTCTCTCTCTGGTCTCATCCCTCTCTCTGGTCTCTCCATCTCCTCTCTCTCCCTTGTCTCTCTGGTCTCCATCCCTCTCTCCTTGGTCTCTCTGGTCTCCATCCCTCTGGTCTCCCTTGTCTCTCTGGTCTCCATCCCTCTCCCTTGTCTCTCTGGTCTCCATCCCTCTCTCTCTCTGGTCTCCATCCCTCTCTCCTTGTCTCTCTGGTCTCCATCCCTCTCTCTTGTCTCTCTGGTCTCTCCCTCTCTCTCTCTGGTCTCCCTATCTCTCTGGTCTCCATCCCTCTCTCTCTCTCTGGTCTCCATCCCTCTCCCTCTCTGGTCTCCATTCCTCTCTCTCTCTCTGGTCTCCATCCCTCTCTCTCTCTCTGGTCTCCATCCCTCTCTCTCTCTCTGGTCTCCATCCCTCTCTCTCTCTCTGGTCTCCATCCCTCTCTCTCTCTCTGGTCTCCATCCCTCTCTCTCTCTGGTCTCCATCCCTCTCTCTCTCTGGTCTCCATCCCTCTCTCTCTCTGGTCTCATCCCTCTCTCCCTTGTCTCTCTGGTCTCCATCCCTCTCTCTCTCTGGTCTCCATCCCTCTCTCCCTTGTCTCTCTGGTCTCCATCCCTCTCTCCCTTGTCTCTCTGGTCTCCATCCCTCTCTCTCTCTGGTCTCCATCCCTCTCTCTCTCTCTGGTCTCCATCCCTCTCTCTCTCTCTGGTCTCCATCCCTCTCTCTCTTGGTCTCCATCCCTCTCTCTCTCTCTGGTCTCCATCCCTCTCTCTCTCTCTGGTCTCCATCCCTCTCTCTCTCTCTGGTCTCCATCCCTCTCTCTCTCTGGTCTCCATCCCTCTCTCTCTCTGGTCTCATCCCTCTCTCCCTTGTCTCTCTGGTCTCATCCCTCTCTCCCTTGTCTCTCTGGTCTCCATCCCTCTCTCCCTTGTCTCTCTGGTCTCCATCCCTCTCTCCCTTGTCTCTCTGGTCTCCATCCCTCTCTCCCTTGTCTCTCTGGTCTCCATCCCTCTCTCTCTCTGGTCTCCATCCCTCTCTCTCTCTGGTCTCCATCCCTCTCTCTCTCTCTGGTCTCCATCCCTCTCTCTCTCTCTGGTCTCCATCCCTCTCTCTCTCTCTGGTCTCCATCCCTCTCTCTCTCTCTGGTCTCCATCCTCTCTCTCTCTCTGGTCTCCATCCCTCTCTCTCTCTCTGGTCTCCATCCCTCTCTCTGGTCTCCATCCCTCTCTCTGGTCTCCATCCCTCTCTCTCTCTGGTCTCCATCCCTCTCTCTCTCTGGTCTCCATCCCTCTCTCTCTCTCTGGTCTCCATCCCTCTCTCTCTCTGGTCTCCATCCCTCTCTCTCTCTGGTCTCATCCCTCTCTCCCTTGTCTCTCTGGTCTCCATCCCTCTCTCCCTTGTCTCTCTGGTCTCCATCCCTCTCTCCCTTGTCTCTCTGGTCTCCATCCCTCTCTCCCTTGTCTCTCTGGTCTCTCCTTGTCTCTCTGGTCTCTCCCACTCTCTCTCTCGGTCTCTCCCACTCTCTCTCGGTCTCTCCCACTCTCTCTCGGGTCTCTCCCACTCTCTCTCGGGTCTCTCCCACTCTCTCTCGGGTCTCTCCCACTCTCTCTCGGGTCTCTCCCACTCTCTCGGGTCTCTCCCACTCTCTCTCGGGTCTCTCCCACTCTCTCTCTGGTCTCTCCACTCTCTCGTCCTCCCACTCTCTCTCTCGGGTCTCTCCCACTCTCTCTCTCTCTCCCACTCTCTCTCGGGTCTCTCCCACTCTCTCTCGGGTCTCTCCCACTCTCTCTCGGGTCTCTCCCACTCTCTCTCGGGTCTCTCCCACTCTCTCTCGGGTCTCTCCCACTCTCTCTCGGGTCTCTCCCACTCTCTCTCGGGTCTCTCCCACTCTCTCTCGGGTCTCTCCCACTCTCTCTCGGGTCTCTCCCACTCTCTCTCGGGTCTCTCCCACTCTCTCTCGGGTCTCTCCCACTCTCTCTCGGTCTCTCCCTCTCGGGTCTCTCCACTCTCTCTCGGGTCTCTCCCACTCTCTCTCGGGTCTCTCCCACTCTCTCTCTCGGGTCTCTCCCACTCTCTCTCGGGTCTCTCCCACTCTCTCTCGGGTCTCTCCCACTCTCTCTCGGGTCTCTCCCACTCTCTCTCGGGTCTCTCCCACTCTCTCTCTCGGGTCTCTCCCACTCTCTCTCGGGTCTCTCCCACTCTCTCTCGGGTCTCTCCCACTCTCTCTCGGGTCTCTCCCACTCTCTCTCGGGTCTCTCCACTCTCTCTCGGGTCTCGGGTCTCTCCCACTCTCTCTCGGGTCTCTCCCACTCTCTCTCGGGTCTCTCCCACTCTCTCTCGGGTCTCTCCCACTCTCTCTCGGGTCTCTCCCACTCTCTCTCGGGTCTCTCCCACTCTCTCTCGGGTCTCTCCCACTCTCTCTCGGGTCTCTCCCACTCTCTCTCGGGTCTCTCCCACTCTCTCTCGGGTCTCTCCCACTCTCTCTCGGGTCTCTCCCACTCTCTCTCGGGTCTCTCCCACTCTCTCTCGGGTCTCTCCCACTCTCTCTCGGGTCTCTCCCACTCTCTCTCTCGGGTCTCTCCCACTCTCTCTCGGGTCTCTCCCACTCTCTCTCGGGTCTCTCCCACTCTCTCTCGGGTCTCTCTCCTCGGTCTCTCTCTCTGGGTCTCTCCCACTCTCTCTCTGGTCTCTCCCACTCTCTCTCTCCCTCCTCTGGTCTCTCCCACTCTCTCTCGGGTCTCTCCCACTCTCTCTCGGGTCTCTCCCACTCTCTCTCGGGTCTCTCCCACTCTCTCTCTGGTCTCTCCCACTCTCTCTCTGGTCTCTCCCACTCTCTCACTGGTCTCTCCCTCGTGTCTCTCCCTCTCTCTCTCTGCTCTCTCCCACTCTCTCTCTGGTCTCTCCCACTCTCTCTCTGGTCTCTCCCACTCTCTCACTGGTCTCTCCCTCGTGTCTCTCCCTCTCTCTCTCTGCTCTCTCCCACTCTCTCTCTGGTCTCTCCCACTCTCTCTCTGGTCTCTCCCACTCTCTCACTGGTCTCTCCCTCGTGTCTCTCCCTCTCTCTCTCTGCTCTCTCCCACTCTGTTCTCGCCCTCTCTATGGTCTCTCTCTCTGGTCTCTCCCTCTCTCTCTATGGTCTCTCTCTCTCTAGTCTCTCCTGGATCCACAGCCTCAGTCCCACTCCCTCTGAACCAATGCTTTATGTGTTTGTTATTATTCCATTCCATGTGTTCGCACTGTTTGATTCTCTGATTTGTTGTCGGTGAATCCACAACTTTGTAAAGTCTCTGAGACAACAACACAAATAAATTAAACCCTGGGATCCGCAGACGTGTGTAGTCTGATCCCGGAGTGGATCTAGTTCCAGAGGAGAGCCGTGATCCTCGGCTCAGACCTCAGACTTCGGGGAAACACCAGGAGAAGCCTCTTAATGAAGTGACCTGGAGCTAGCATGCGCGGCTAACACACAGACAGTGCCGGCTCACGTTTCCAAATCAATGGGAATGAAGTCAAACGTGGGAGAAGAGAAATACACACAGAAATATGGCAGAACAGAAGAGCGATCACTGAAGAAGCTGTTAGCATGAGCTGTGTGCACTGCGGACAACAGAGGGAAAGGCAGGCGTGTCGTTTGGACCTGTGGAACTAGGGGCTGCATCACAATTATGGTGGTCGCAATTAGAAAATCACAAATGCTACTCTCTGGTCAGTCTCTCTCTGGCCACACTGGTCTCTCTCTCACTCTCTCTCTTTGGTCTCTCTCTCTGGTCTCTCTCACTCTGGTCTCTCTCACTCTGGTCTCTCTCACTCTGGTCTCTCTCACTCTGGTCTCTCTCACTCTGGTCTCTCTCACTCTGGTCTCTCTCACTCTGGTCTCTCTCACTCTGGTCTCTCTCACTCTGGTCTCTCTCACTCTGGTCTCTCTCACTCTGGTCTCTCTCAGTCTATGCTTACACAGATCAGAAGACACTTAATGAACAGGAACTCTTCTCGCAAAAGCCCAGACGTAGCAAAGATAAATGTTTAAAATACCATATGAGTCAAACAGAGATAACAAAAATAAATGTTGTAAACGAGACGGGAGCCTGCATTCAGCCTCCGCGGCTCCTTCTCTGGAGCTTCATTCACTTGTTTCTCACTCGCTCCATTAAGAGAAACCCAGAGAGTCCAGACTCGGGCCGCGGCGATAATGGACCCTGATGTTATTACAGTTCAATAAAAGCTCGTAAAGTCCATCCTCTTGTCCACAAATAAACCAGACTCAGTGTGCGACCTCAGGGAGAGGGGGGAGGAGAGGAGGAGGAGAAGGGTGAGTGCAAGAGAGACCAAAGAGAGAGATCAGAGAGAGACCAGAGAGACCAGAAAGAGAGAGACCAGAGAGAAAGCAGAACAAGGGACCAAAGAGAGACCAGCGAGAGAGAGAGAGAGACCAGAGAGAAAGCAGAACAAGGGACCAAAGAGAGACCAGAGAGAGAGAGAGAGAGACCAGAGAGAAAGCAGAAAAAGGGACCAAAGAGAGACCAAAGAGAGAGACCAGAGAGAAAGCAAAAAAAGGGACCTGAGAGAGACCAGAGAGAGACCAGAGAGAGAGAGACCAGTGGGGTCTTACGAGGGACTATTGCAAAGGTTTTTATTGGCAGGAAAACAGTACCTTGCTGTTGAAAAGCACAAGCACTAACCACTCTGCCAATGCAGCAGTCAATACATATGTTTGAAATGTTTTCCTAGAAAGACCCCATGACCCACATGTTGAGAAACACTGGACCAGAGCAATAATCATGAACTCAGCGGTATCTTACCTTATTGTTGACATAGTCCTGAGATCAGCGGCAGCATCAGGACATGGAACAAACCAAACAGAACTATATTAAAGCTTTCAGACTAACTAAAGAGACACCAGAGAGAGAGCAGAGACCAGAGAGAGACCAGAGAGAGACCAGAGAGGGAACAGAGAGACTAGAGAGAGACCAGAGAGACCAGAGAGAAACCAGAGAGAGACCAGAGAGAGACCAGAGAGATCCCAGGGAGAGACTAGAGAGAGACTAGAGAGAGACCAGAGAGAGAGTATAAATAGCAGATCTAAAGATGTGACAGAAGCCAATAATAGAAACACACACACGTGAGAACTAGCGACAGTGGGTCTTTTTACGTCCTTTACATGTTTGTGGTCTGAAAGTCAGGAACTTCAGCTTTAATCCAGTTTATTTGTATTGTGCGTCTGTGTTCTGAGAAGTGACACGAGGACAGCTGCATTAGTGTGAAAGTGCTGTGGTGAGAAACGACTGAGAGGTAAAAGCAGGACTCTACTCTACTCTACTCTACTCTACTCTACTCTACTCTACTCTACTCTACTCTACTCTACTCTACTCTACTCTACTCTACTCTACTCTACTCTACTCTACTCTACTCTACTCTACTCTACTCTACTCTACTCTCTTTAGCAGCAGCTCGGCCTGGATAGAACCAGGACCAAGAGGGACTAATAAAGGACTTGGTACTAGTTAAGGAGGACCAGAGGAAACACTCCCAATTAGGGGAGGGTAGAGTAGAGTAGAGTAGAGTAGGGTAAAGTAGGGTAAATAGGGTAGAGTATAGTAGAGTAGAGTAGAGTAGAGTAAAGTAGGGTACAGTATAGTAGAGTAGAGTAGAGTAGAGTAAAGTAGGGTACAGTATAGTAGAGTAGAGTAGAGTAGAGTAGAGTAAAGTAGGGTACAGTATAGTAGAGTAGAGTAGAGTAGAGTAAAGTAGGGTACAGTATAGTAGAGTAGAGTAGAGTAGGGTAGAGTAGAGTAAAGTAGGGTAAAGTAGGGTACAGTACAGTAGAGTAGGGTAAAGTAGAGAAGAGTAGAGTACAGAGCTGGTGGAAACAGGGCTTCTGTTGGCTCCTTCACTATGATCTCTCAGTGAAACAATGAGTCTTGGTTCTGGTGCAGCACCATGTGATTTTTCTGGTCCTGTTTCTGGTGGACGTGTGGCACAGAGTGATTAGCTCCAGCTGTAACCGTCACATGGAGCTGCAGGGTCTAATCTGATGGAGGGAACTCTGAGAGGGAACTCCCCACTACTCTGAAGGACTGAGAGACACAGATGACTAGAGTGAGACCAGAGTGGGGGACCAGAGAGAGCAGAGAGAGGGACCAGAGAGAGAGACCAGAGTGAGCAAAGAGAGGGACCAGAGAGAGAACTAGAGAGAGACCAAAGAGAGCACTAGAGAGAGACCAGAGAGAGACCAGAGAGAAACAAGAGAGAAACAAGAGAGAGAGAGACCAGCAAGAGTTCAGAGAGATACCAGAGAGATCAGAGAGAGAGTTGAGTGACCAGAGAGGGACCAGATAGAGACCATAGAAAGATCAAAGAGACTAACCAGAGACAGAGACCAGAAAGAGAATACAACCATAGACTACACAACCGTTTGCGCTATTAGCCTGAGCTAGCTTTTCCACTTCACATTAACAGTGCTTTCAGTTGTATCCTTCAGCAGGGGTCTCTCATGTCGGGCCTGAACCTTCTGAACCCCGGTCATAGACTCCCTCAGAGCCGACAGGAGCATGCCACCTCCCCTTTAAGTTTGTAGTATTTGTGACATGTTCTCGCGCCTTCAAGTCTGTCTTCCTCCAGAGCAGGAAGGAAAAGGAGTTATGTGAGCTATTGTTAAACAAGAGCCTGGGTTTGTCCAAATCTCCACTGACTCACGGACAGAATCTAGAGTCCAGGGACAGAAATCAAATTTAGAAAGTTGATTCTTTCTTTGATGAAAAACTGGATAATTTGTACTTTTCCTTGAGTTTGATATAGATAATACGTTATCATATTAGGTCTCTCTGGGGTCAGTCGTCTCTCTGGGGTTGGTCGGTCTCTCTGTATCTCTGGGGTCGGTCGGTCTCTCGGGGTCGGTCGGTCTCTCCGTCTCTCGGGGGTCGGTCGGGGGTCGTTCTCTCTGGGTCGGGCGCTCTCTGGTTTCTCTCTCTGATCTCGGTCTCTCTCTCCTCCAGTCTCTGTCTCTCTCCGGCCTCTCTCTCTACGGTCTCACTCTCACGCTGGTCTATCCCCTGTCTGTCTCTCTCCCCGGTCTCTCTCTCTCTCTGTCTCGCTCTCTCTCTCCGGGGGGCTCCCTCTTACCGTGGTGTAGGAGTTGGGCTCTGGTCATCTGTGATTCAGTTCCCGCTCTCCTTTGGGTGTTGATCCTCCTGAACCTCCTCCTGGACCTCCTCTGGGACTCCTCTCTCTGGAGCAGGTTCTCCTACCGCTTCGCTGGCCGTTCTCCACCTGAAGGGAGGCGCCCAAAAACAACAGTTACACAAACCCAAAAACAGGACATTTTTAACGTCTTTCTTTCAATATGAACTTTAATTATGTTCGACTGTATTTGTGTCTCGTCCTATTTCACACAGCAGCAGTCTTGTTCCCAGTTCCCACTTTACAAAGTTGGTGGAGGATTTTACCAACAAAGGATAAAAAAAAAATCAAAACAGGAAATGCCAATAACAACAAACTCATAGGGCAAAAGGGTCCTATAGGGAGCAGCACAACCACTGTCCAGAAATGCCTCATAAAAATAGGACCAGAGAGGCAGAGAGAGACCAGAGAGACCATGGTGAGACCAAAGCAAGAGACCACTAGAGAGACAAATAGGAGAGACCGTAGAGAGAGACCATAGAGACCATAGAGAGACCGTTAGAGAGAGACCATAGAGAGACCGTAGAGAGGAGACCATAGAGACCAGAGAGGCCATAGAGAGAGAGAGAGACCATAGAGACCGTGTAGAGAGAGACCATAGGACCATAGAGAGACCGTAGAGAGAGACCATAGAGAGACCATAGAGAGGCAAGACAGAAACCCTAGAGAGAGAGGGGCAGAGAGAAAGGACAGATCAACCAGAGAGACAGAAACTTCTGTAGATCCAGGGAACTTTTAAAAACTGACCTTTTACAACAAAGGTTAAGGGGGATAAGGTTTGGGTGTTAAGATGTTTTTGATGTCAGTCCTGGGTCTACAGCCTCTAGTCCTGGGTCTACAGCCTCAGTCCTGGGTCTTACAGCCTCAATCCTGGGTCTACAGCCTCAGTCCTGGGTCTACTGCCTCAGTCCTGGAGTCTAATTAATTAAAGTTAATTGTCAGGTGTTACTGGCGTTTATATGATGTTGTTGGAGCACAGACAACTGTAGAAGAAGCAAAAACAAAATCCAGAACAACCAGAGAGGACCAGAAGTTTTTACTCTTCATACGACTTCGACCTTTGATCTTTTTAAAACTTGGACATAATAAAACGAAATAACGAAATAGTAGTTTTAAAAAGGACAACTAATAATGTGGTATTCCTTGTTTCAGTATCCACCTGTGTCCAGTCGAACTCTCAGAACCAGCTTCCTCTCTGCCTCAGTTTACGATAGTGTGACGCTGGTTCTGAGACGCTCATCTTCAAATGTATCTGCTGGTTTAGAGATGCTCCTCTTCAGACCTGGTCCATGGTGCTGGTCCTGGTCACATCGGAGCCGCAAGTCTTGCACACCGTTCCAATCCCAGATCAGAGCAGGAGAAAAACGTTCCTCAGACGGTTCCTGATTAAAACATCCAGTTCTTCCAAAGCACGAGACGTCCTGTGCAACGGCAGGATACTTCTCATGGTGTCGGCATCCAGAGGCAGGAAATACCAGAGAGAGACCAGAGAGAGAGACCAGAGAGAGAGACCAGAGAGACACCAGGGTGAGCCCACAGAGAGCCCAGACAGAAATCACGAGGAGCATGAGTGAGAGACCATAAGAGACTGGAGACAAAGACCAGAGAGAGAGACCAGCGAGAGAAACCAGAAAGAGACCAGAGAGAAAGACCAGAGAAACCAGAGTGAGAGAGCAGAGAAAGAGACCAGAGAGAGACAAGACTGAGACAGACTGAGACTAGAGAGAGAGACCAGAAAGACCCCAGAGAAAGCCCAGAGTGAGAGTAGAGCGAGAGTGAGAGAGACCAGGGAATCCAGGTAATGATCAGAGTTGAAAATATCCAATCCGTAGAAATAAAAACTTTCCAAATTTTCATAAATAATAATAAAAAGTTCAGACGTCGTTCAGAGGAAGCAGCCGCTCAGTCCACGCCACAGTCACAAAGTCACTCACATGTTTCTGTGACTCCGCCTCGCTCGCCCACCCGCCCACTCCTCTCTCTCTCTCTCTCTCTCTCTCTGTGTGTGTGTCTCTCTCTGTGTGTGTGTCGCTTTGTGTGTAATCTTTGTTCGACACATTTTTGACAAAGTCCCAGTTTCACTTTTTTAACCAAGATTTACAGAACATTGTGCTTGAAATGTGTTGTTATGTCTCAAGAACTTTTAGACATGTGTGAGTTCTGCTGCCAGGGTTCAGTGATACAGACAGGAAAGACAACACACACACACACACAAAGAGACACCACACACACACAGAGACACACACACAAACAGAGACACAGAGACACACACACAGACACAACAACACATACAGTAGACACAAACACAGATACACACACAAAGAGAGACACAGACAGAGACACACACACACACGCACCGAGACACACACACACATAGACACACACACACATAGACACAAACACAGATACACAAAGAGAGAGACAGGCAGAGACACACACACACCCACACACACGCACCGAGACACACACACACAGAGACACAGAGACACAGAGACACACACAGACACACAATAATAGACACAAAAATCTATAGTTACTGTGGCGTGACAGTCATATCACACTCATGGGATTCTCCCCAGGGAACAGGAGAGAGAGGAGGAGAGAGAGGAGAGAGAATGAGGGGAGGAAAAGAGAGGACAGGGGATGAGAGGAGAGAGGGAAAGAGATGTGAGGAAAGAGGAGAAAGAAAGAAAGAGGAGGAAAGAGAGAAAGAGAGAAAGAGGACACATGACCAGAGACCAGACAATAATCCAAAAGTTTCATCAAGGAGACTCGAACCATCAGCGGGATTCAATCACACAGAACTTTAAAAATCTGACCTTTTACAACAAAGGTTAAGGTTTGGGTTAAGATGTTTTTGATGTCAGTCCTGGGTCTACAGCCTCAGTCCTGGGGTCTACAGCCTCAGTCCTGGGGTCTACAGCCTCAGTCCTGGGGTCTACAGCCTCAGTCCTGGGTATACAGCCTCCAGTCCTGCTCCTTAGTAGCTCTCGTAGTTGCACCACGAGGAGAAGGCGCGAGTCTCTGGGTCCCCGGACGTGTCTCCCTCCTCTGGGTCCTGTGTCTGTTTCGTGCTAACGATCCCTCATTATGGTGTGTTTCCTGTGTCCTCTGTTCATTCAAACTCCACATGACATCCCCCACATGGTCTCGCTCTGGTTCTCGCTCTGATCTCTCTCGCTCTGGTCTCTCTCGCTATAGGCTCTCTCGCTCTGGTCTCCCTCTCGCTCTGGTCTCCCTCTCTCGCTCTGGTCTCCCTCTCTCGCTCTGGTCTCTCTCTCTCGCTCTGGTCTCTCTCTCTCGCTCTGGTCTCTCTCTCTCGCTCTGGTCTCTCTCTCTCGCTCTGGTCTCTCTCTCTCGCTCTGGTCTCTCCCTCTCGGCTCTGGTCTCTCCCTCTCGGCTCTGGTCTCTCCCTCTCGGCTCTGGTCTCTCCCTCTCGGCTCTGGTCTCTCCCTCTCGGCTCTGGTCTCTCCCTCTCGGCTCTGGTCTCTCCCTCTCGGCTCTGGTCTCTCCCTATCGGCTCTGGTCTCTCCCTCTCGGCTCTGGTCTCTCCCTCTCGGCTCTGGTCTCTCCCTCTCTCGGCTCTGGTCTCTCCCTCTCGGCTCTGGTATCTCTCCCTCTCGGCTCTGGTCTCTCCCTCTCGGCTCTGGTCTCTCCCTCTCGGCTCTGGTCTCTCCCTCTCGGCTCTGGTCTCTCCCTCTCGGCTCTGGTTCTCGGTCTTTGGTCGTTCTTTCTGGTCTCCCTCACATTTCTCTCTCAACCCTCTTTCTAGTCTCTCCTGTCCCTCTCTTTGCTATCTCTGGTCTCTCTCTCTTTGGTCTCTCTCTCTCTCTGGTCTCTCTCTCTGGATGCAGACAACAATGAAACTCACCACAATTCATTTCTGAAGGTTCCAAAGTGATGCATTCACAGCCGCGTCTGCCTCCGAGCTGCTTCCAAAACTGAAAAAAAAAAAAAAACCGAAATAATGTGTTTTTGATGCAGGAGAGAGACTTTTCTGTCTGAACAAATCTTATCGAACTATGGGACAGGGACCAAAAACACAAGATGTGAGGGACCAGAAAAGAGACACAGAGACGAGAGAGCCTAGAGAGAGACCAGTAAGAGAGACTACAGAAGTCCAGAGAGAGGAACAAGAGAGACTAGAAAGAGAGCTGAGAAAGGAGACCAGAAAGGACGACCAGAGAGATAGAGACCAGAAAGGCACGAGCAGAGAGATAGAGACGACCAGAGAGATAGAGACCAGAAAGGAACAACCAGAGAGATAGAGACCAGAAGAGGACGAGCAGAGAGATAGAGACGACCAGAGAGATAGAGACCAGAAAGGACGAGCAGAGAGACTAGAGACGACCAGAAAGATTAGAGACCAGAAAGAACGACCAGAGAGATAGAGACTAGAAAGGACGAACAGAGAGATAGAGACCAGAAAAGACGAACAGACGAAAGAGAGATCAGAAAGGCTGTGACGACCAGAGAGAGAGAGACCAGAAAGGGGACGACCAGAGAGAGAGAGACCAGAAAGAACCGACCAGAGAGATAGAGACCAGAAACGGACAACCAGAGAGACGAGAGACCAGAAAAGGACGAGCAGAGAAAGAGAAGATCAGACAAGACGAGCAGAGAGAGAGAGACCAGAAAGGAGACCAGAGAGAGAGACCAGAGAGAGAGACCAGAGAGAGAGAGACCAGATGAGAGACGACCAGAGAGAGAGAGACCAGAAGAGGACGACAGAGAGATAGAGACCAGAAAGGTACGGGACCAGAGAGAGAGAGACCAGAGAGGAGACCAGAGAGAGAGACCAGAAAGACGAGCCAGAGAGATAGAGACTAGAGAGGACGAGCAGAGAGAGATAGAGACCAGAAAGGACGAGCAGAGAGAATAGAGACCAGAGAGGACGAGCAGAGAGATAGAGACCAGAAAGGACGAGAGGAGAGATAGAGACCAGAAAGGACGACCAGAGAGATAGAGACCAGAGGACGAGCAGAAGAATGATAGAGACCAGAGAGGGACGTACCAGAGAGAGTAGATACCAGGAAAGGACGAACAGAGAGATAGAGACCAGAGAGACGGACCAGAGAGATAGAGACCAGAGAGAGACCAGAGAGATAGAGACCAGAGAGAGACCAGAGAGAGAGACCAGAGAGAGACACCAGAGAGATAGAGACCAGAGAGAGAGCCAGAGAGAGAGACCAGAGAGAGAGACCAGAGAGAGAGACCAGAGAGAGACAGAGGAGAGAGAGACCAGAGAGAGAGACCAGAGAGAGGAGACCAGAGAGAGAGAGACCAGAGAGAGAGAGACCAGAGAGAGAGAGACCAGAGAGAGAGAGACCAGAGAGAGAGACCAGAGAGATAGAGACCAGAAAGGACGAGCAGAGAGAGAGAGACCAGAGAGAGACGAGCAGAGAGATAGAGACCAGAGAGAGAGACCAGAGAGAGAGACCAGAAAGAGAGACCAGAGAGATAGAGACCAGAGAGGAGACCAGAGAGAGAGACCAGAAGAGAGACCAGAGAGAGACCAGAGAGAGACCAGAGAGAGAGACCAGAGAGAGAGACCAGAGAGAGAGACCAGAGAGAGACCAGAGAGAGAGAGACCAGAGAGAGACGACCAGAGAGAGAGAGACCAGAGAGAGGACCAGAGACCAGAGAGAGACCAGAGAGGAGACCAGAGAGAGAGACCAGAGAGAGAGACCAGAGAGATAGAGACCAGAGAGAGAGCGACCAGAGAGAAGACCAGAAGAGAGACCAGAGAGAAGAGACCAGACCAGAGAGAGAGGACCAGAGAGAGAGAGACCAGAGAGAGAGACCAGAGAGGACGACCAGAGAGAGAGACCAGAAAGAGAGAGACAGAGAGAGAGAGAACCAGAGAGATAGAGACCAGAAAGGACGACCAGAGAGATTAGAGACCAGAGAGAGACGAGCAGAGAGAGAGAGACCAGAGAAGGACCGAGCAGAGAGATAGAGAAAGGACGAGCAGAGAGAGAGGACCAGAGAAGGACCAGAGAGAGAGAGACCAGAAAGGACGACCAGAGAGATAGAGACCAGAGAGGACGACCAGAGAGAGAGACCAGAGAGGACGACCAGAGAGATAGAGACCAGAGAGGACGACCCAGAGAGATAGAGACCAGAGAAGGAGACGAGAGAGACCAGAGAGAGAGGACCAGAGAGATAGAGACCAGAGAGGACGACCAGAGAGATAGAGACCAGAAAGGACGAGACAGAGAGATAGAGACCAGAGAGAGACGAGCAGAGAGATAGAGACCAGAAAGGACGAGCAGAGAATAGAGACCAGAAAGGACGAGCAGAGAGATAGAGACCAGAAAGGACGACCAGAGAGATAGAGACCAGAGAAGGACGACCAGAGAGATAGAGACCAGAAAGGACGACCAGAGAGATAGAGCCAGAAAGGACGACCAGAGAGATAGAGACCAGAAAGGACGACCAGAGAGATAGAGACGACCAGAGAGAGAGAACACCAGAAGGACGAGCAGAGAGAGAGAGACCAGAAAGGACGACCAGAGAGATAGAGACCAGAAGGACGAGCAGAGAGATAGAGACCAGAAAGGACGAGCAGAGAGATAGAGACCAGAAAGGACGACCAGAGAGATAGGACCAGAAAGGAGACCAGAGAGATAGAGACCAGAAAGGACAACCAGAGAGAGAGAGACCAGAAAGGACGACCAGAGAGATAGACCAGAGAGGACAACCAGAGAGTATAAGAGACCAGAGAGGAGACCCAGAGAGATAGAGACCAGAGAGAGAGACCAGAGAGATAGAGACCAGAAAGGACGACCAAGAGATAGAGACGACCAGAGAGAGAGACCCAGGAGACCAGAGAGATACCAGACCAGAAAGAGACGAGCAGAGAGATAGAGACCAGAGAGAGACGAGCAGAGAGATTGAGACCAGAAAGGACGAGCAGAGAGATAGAGACCAGAAAGGAGACGACCAGAGAGATAGAGACCAGAAAGGACGACCAGAGAGATAGAGACCAGAAAGGACGACCAGAGAGATAGAGACCAGAAGGACGACCAGAGAGATAGAGACCAGAAAGGACGACCAGAGAGATAGAGACCAGAAAGGACGACCAGAGAGAATAGAGACCAGAAAGGACGAGCAGAGAGATAAGAGACCAGAAAGGAGCGACCAGAGAGAGAGAGAGACCAGCGAGGACGACCAGAGAGATAGAGACCAGAGAGAGGACGACCAGAGAGATAGATGACCAGAAAGGACGACCAGAGAGATAGAGAAACCAGAGATAGAAACCAAGAAAGGACGAGCAGAGAGATAGAGACCAGAAAGGACGACCAGAGAGATAGAGACCAGAAAGGACGACCAGAGAGATAGAGACCAGAAAGGACGAGCAGAGAGATAGAGACCAGAAAGGACAACCAGAGAGATAGAGACCAGAAAGGACGACCAGAGAGATAGAGACCAGAAAGGACGAGCAGAGAGATAGAGACCAGAAAGGACGACCAGAGAGATATAGAGACCAGAAAGGACGAGCAGAGAGATAAGAGACCAGAAAGGACGAACAGAGAGATAGAGACCAGAAAGGACGAGCAGAGAGATAGAGACCAGAAAGGACGAGCAGAGAGATAGAGACCAGAAAGGACGACCAGAGAGATAGAGACCAGAAGAGGACGACCAGAGAGATAGAGACCAGAAAGGACGACCAGAGAGATAGAGACCAGAAAAGGACGAGCTAGAGACCAGAAAGGACGAGCAGAGAGATAGAGACCAGAAAGGACGAGCAGAGAGATAGAGACCAGAAAGGACGACCAGAGAGATAGAGACCAGAAAGGACGAGCAGAGAGATAGAGACCAGAGAGGACGACCAGAGAGATAGAGACCAGAAAGGATGACCAGAGAGATAGAGACGACCAGCGAGATAGAAACCAGAAAGGACGAGCAGAGAGACCAGAAAGGACGACCAGAGAGATAGAGACCAGAAAGGACGAGCAGAGAGATAGAGACCAGAAAGGACAACCAGAGAGAGAGACCAGAAAGGACGACCAGAGAGATAGAGACCAGAAAGGACGAGCAGAGAGATAGAGACCAGAAAGGACGAGCAGAGAGATAGAGACCAGAAAGGACGAGCAGAGAGATAGAGACCAGAAAGGACGAGCAGAGAGATAGAGACCAGAAAGGACGACCAGAGAGATAGAGACCAGAAAGGACGACCAGAGAGATAGAGACCAGAGAGGACGACCAGAGAGATAAAGACCAGAAAGGACGACCAGAGAGATAGAGACGACCAGAGAGATAGAGACCAGAAAGGACGACCAGAGAGATAGAGACCAGAAAGGACGACCAGAGAGATAGAGACCAGAAAGGACGACCAGAGAGATAGAGACCAGAAAGGACGACCAGAGAGATAGAGACCAGAGAGGACGACCAGAAAGGACGAGCAGAGAGATAGAGACCAGAAAGGACGAGCAGAGAGATAGAGACCAGAAAGGACGAGCAGAGAGATAGAGACCAGAAAGGACGACCAGAGAGATAGAGACCAGAAAGGACGAGCAGAGAGATAGAGACCAGAAAGGACGACCAGAGAGATAGAGACCAGAGAGGACGACCAGAGAGATAGAGACCAGAGAGGACGACCAGAGAGATAGAGACCAGAAAGGACGACCAGAAAGGACGAGCAGAGAGATAGAGACCAGAAAGGACGAGCAGAGAGATAGAGACCAGAAAGGACGAGCAGAGAGATAGAGACCAGAAAGGACGACCAGAGAGATAGAGACCAGAGAGGACGACCAGAGAGATAGAGACCAGAAAGGACGACCAGAAAGGACGAGCAGAGAGATAGAGACCAGAAAGGACGAGCAGAGAGATAGAGACCAGAAAGGACGAGCAGAGAGATAGAGACCAGAAAGGACGACCAGAGAGATAGAGACCAGAAAGGACGAGCAGAGAGATAGAGACCAGAAAGGACGACCAGAGAGATAGAGACCAGAGAGGACGACCAGAGAGATAGAGACCAGAAAGGACGACCAGAGAGATAGAGACCAGAAAGGACGACCAGAGAGATAGAGACGACCAGAGAGATAGAAACCAGAAAGGACGAGCAGAGAGAGAGACCAGAAAGGACGACCAGAGAGATAGAGACCAGAAAGGACGACCAGAGAGATAGAGACCAGAAAGTCTTAAAACTTTTATTTAGTTTAAAAACAGACGCCATTCCACCAGAAAAAGTCGGACTAAGAACCTTAAAAACTCATGCACTTTAATGTCTGAAAGTGTTTCTCTTGGTTATTTAATATCTATAATTTTGTATTATGTAAATGTAACTCAGGGTTATTCATGAACTATTTTGATATTTTGTTTCTTGTACATTTATTTGCTCAAACTAATCTTTATTATTGTTATTATTATTATTATTATTATTCTTATTAAAGTCTGCTTTTTAATTAAAGAAAAAAAGCTTCCCTCTGGTCTCATTCCCACAGAAACATGAAGTTTTACATGTGTGTGTTGGGGACAGGGAAAATGAGAGGGTGAGGGGGGTGAGGGGGGTGAGGGGGGTGAGGGTGTAATTGGAGACCTCAGCAGAGTTGGCTCCGCTCCAGCTCCACACACTTCTGTAATTAAAAGCAGCCGCTGAGAACAGAGCATGATCAGCCACACGTCCTGCTCTGGTGCTGTCCCCAGGGGGCGCCACTATCCCTGATCCTGAACTGCACAGTCAGCAGATTTACTAAAGCTGAATGACATGTACAGGGGCCAGCAGCAAGTTGTGGATTCACCAACAACAGACCAGAAAATCAAACAACAAACACATTTATGTCCAGGATCATCACTGTCCTTAGACCAGACCCAAGTCCAAATGATCCTCAGCTCTTTCCTACTATTTCTGTCATCATTTCGACTTCGGCTGTAGTCTGATCATTGCTATTAACCCGCTGTCCTATTGTCTGTTTCACAGCGTGATGATGGGCCTCCTCCATCTGCACCATGTCCAGCCCGCCCAAGAGCTGCCTCAGTCCTGCATTGCATCAGTCCTCGTCCTGGATCTACAGCCGTCTGTCTGTGGGAGCGGATCCTTTCTCACCTCGTCTCACTGAGTTTTAAAGTTGTTCCTTGCCCTAGATCCAGGACTGAGGCTGTAGGCCGAGGACTGAGGCGGTAGACCCAGGACTGAGGCTGTAGAGCCAGAACTGAGGCTGTAGACCCAGGACTGAGGCTGTAGACCCAGGACTGAGACTGTAGACCCAGGACTGAGGCTGTAGACCCAGGACTGAGGCTGTAGACCCAGTACTGAGGCTGCAGACCCAGGACTGAGGCTGTAGAGCCAGAACTGAGGCTGTAGACCCAGGACTGAGGCTGTAGACCCAGGACTGAGACTGTAGACCCAGGACTGAGGCTGTAGACCCAGGACTGAGGCTGTAGACCCAGTACTGAGGCTGCAGACCCAGGACTGAGACTGCAGACCCAGGACTGAGGCTGTAGACCCAGGACTGAGGCTAGATCCACAGAGGGTGGATCAGTCTGTCTCTGAACCTGCTCATTTCTGCTGACAGCTCTGAACTCACGTCCAGTTACAGGAAAAACACAACGGTTTTATTCCGGAAACTAAATTATTCACTAAAGTATTATCGGCATTTTCATAAAGTGCAGTGAATCCAGGAGAAACTGAGGATGTTCTTTTAGTAGGTCTAAAGCAGGTCTAAAGCAGGTCTAAAGCAGGTCTAAAGCAGGTCTAAAGCAAGCAGGTCTAAAGCAGGTCTAAAGCAAGCAGGTCTAAAGCAGGTCTAAAGCAAGCAGGTCTAAAGCAGGTCTAAAGCAGGTGTAAAGCAGGTCTAAAGCAGGTCTAAAGCAGGTCTGAAGCAAGCAGGTCTAAAGCAGGTCTAAAGCAGGTCTAAAGCAGGTCTAAAGCAGGTCTAAAGCAGGTCTAAAGTAGGTCAAAAGTAGGTCGAAAGCAGGTCTAAAGCAGGTCTAAAGCAAGCAGGTCTAAAGCAGGTCTAAAGCAGGTCTGAAGCAAGCAGGTCTAAAGCAGGTGTAAAGCAGGTCTAAAGCAGGTCTAAAGCAGGTCTAAAGCAAGCAGGTCTAAAGCAGGTCTAAAGCAGGTCTAAAGCAAGACTAAAGCATTATTAACTGATATTATTAAACATAGACCCTTAAACATGATCTTGAGAACATGTCCGATAACTTGAGAGCGACCCCTCTGAGGACCACACGGGTCTGACCCTTGACCCCAGATCCCTGAGGACCACCCGGGGTCTAACCCACACATTCCTCCAGTGAAGCTCCAGGAGAAACAAGTTAAACAGTAACTTGGTGCATATCTGTGTTCCATGATTCAGGAGAAGTAGGTCATTTACAACAGACGACAGAGATACAGAAGTACAGTATGAGACACACGAGAAAAGAGAGAGAGACCAGAGAGAGACCAGAGAGAGAGACCAGAGAGAGACCAGAGGGAGACCAGAGAGAGACACCAGAGAGAGACCAGAGAGACCAGAGAGCGTGCAGAGAGAGAGCAGAGAGAGAGGCCAGAGAGAGACCAGAAAGAGACCAGAGAGAGAGGTCAGAGGGAGAGGTCAGAGGGAGACCAGAGGGAGACCGGAGAGAGACCAGAGAGAGGCCAGAGGGAGACCAGAGTGAGACCAGAGAGGGTGATCAGAAAGAGACCAGAGATAAAGCGCCATAACAATATTCACAATGTAAATACCTTGGGAAAATATAAAAAACTTCATGAGAAAATATAAATAAATCTATTGACTCAGACTAATAAACGTGTCTTTCTGGTCTCTGTGTTTTTGCGCTCTCTGTGATAATTTATCTGCGTAAAACACTTATTAAATATATTTAGTTATATTGTATGAATGATGTCTTTTTGCTGCACGCGTGGGTCCTGTCAACGGCATTTCAGCTTCTGTGTGTGTGTGTGTGTTCTCTATGCACAATGAGATAACTGTGGGCAGTGGGAAGAGTATGTGCTACAGTGGGAAGGCTGAGGAGAGAGAGACAAGAGAGAAAGAACTGAGAGAGACCAGAGAAACTAGAGAGAGACAAGAGAGAGAGAGACTAGAGACCAGAGAGAGACAGCAGAGAGACTAGAGAGAGACCAGAGAAAGAGAGAGGAAGAGCAGAGAGACTAGAAGAGACCAGAGAGACCAGAGAAAGAGAGACTAGAGAGAGACCAGAGACAGCAGAGAGACGAGACCAGAGAGAGACAAGAGAAAGAGAGAGAGAAAGAGCAGAGACTAGCAGAGACTAGAAGAGACCAGAGAAAGACCAGAGAGGGACCAGAGAGAGAGACCAGAGAGACAGTGAGGTACCATGAGAGCATAGCACTTTTCAGGACACTCATAGACATTTCACATGGTATAATTAATTCTCTACAAACACTGATGAAAAACTACTACTGTGGCCACAGCTGCCCTGGGGCACACTGTCAGAAGCAACCAGTATTTGCCATCAGCCCCTCCCACCACCACCAACCACTCACACACACACCAGACTCATTCTAATGGGGGTGAAGTGTCTTGCCTAAAGACACAGCGACAGTTTGGCACTTTACAGCCGCAGCCGCCCCACTGTGGCACCTGCTGTTCCCAGAGGTCTCCCATCACAGTACAAACCAGGCCCTGCCCTGCTTAGCTTCAGACATCTGACTGATCTGGCAGACAGATTCAGGGTTAACGTTACTTCTTGAAGGTTTTTGAAGTAAACTTTGCTGATGTTAGTGTTTACATTTTTGTGGAGCGAGATTTACTGATTCGTTTACAGACTTCCTGCTGAAAGCACAGAGCAGCTGACCACAAGCACACCACACACAGAGGACATGGGTCTCACAGGCTTCTCCAGGGGTCATTTTCAGACTCTTTAGGACCAACACATTTACACATCCAACCAAACCAGTTCATTTAATCGTTGTTGTGGTCCTGAGCTTTGGCTGAGGAGGAACCAGCTGAGGATCTCTGTGTCGCACCAGGAGAAGAACCATTTTTCTGGTGTGAACTCAGCGAAACAAGAGAGAGAGAGACCAGAGAGAGACCAGAGAGAGAGAGACCAGCGAGAGAGAGACCAGAGAGAGAGACCAGAGAGAGAGACCAGAGCGAGAGAGACCAGCGAGAGAGAGACCAGAGAGAGAGACCTGAAAGAGAGAGACCAGAGAGAGAGAGACCAGAGAGAGAGACCAGAGAGAGAGACCAGAGAGAGAGACCAGAGAGAGAGACCAGAGCGAGAGACCAGAGAGAGAGAACAGAGAGAGAGACCAGAAAGAGAGACCAGAGAGAGACCAGACACAGAAACTAGAGAGAGACCAGAGAGAGACCAGAAAGAGAGAGACCAGAAAGAGAGAGACCAGAGAGAGAGACCTGAGAGAGAGAGACCAGAGAGAGAGAGACCAGAGAGAGAGAGACCAGAGAGAGAGACCAGAAAGAGAGACCAGAGAGAGACCAGACACAGAAACTAGAGAGACCAGGAAGAGAGACCAGAGAAAGAGAGACCAGAGAGAGACCAGACACAGAAACTAGAGAGACCAGAGAGAGAGACCAGAGAGAGACAGACCAGAGAGAGACCAGACACAGAAACTAGAGAGACCAGGAAGAGAGACCAGAGAAAGAGAGACCAGAGAGAGACCAGACACAGAAACTAGAGAGACCAGAGAGAGAGACCAGAGAGAGAGAGACCAGAGAGAGACCAGACACAGAAACTAGAGACCAGAGAGAGAGACCAGAGAGAGACCAGACACAGAAACTAGAGAGAGACCAGAAAGAGACGAGAGAGAGAGATCAGTGAGAGACCAGAGAGAGACCAAAGAGAGACCAAAGAGAGACCAAAGAGACCACAGAGAGAGAGACCAAAGAGAGACCAAAGAGACCACAGAGAGAGAGACCAAAGAGAGACCAAAGAGACCACAGAGAGAGAGGCCAGAGAGAGAGACAAGAGGGAGAGACTGGAGAGAGACCAAGAAGACCAGAGGGAGACCAGAGACGAAAGAGATGTCAAAGTCACCAGAGAGAGACCAGAGAGAGACCAGAGAGATAAATAGAGATCAGAGGGAGACACCAGAGAGAGACCAGAAAGAGACCAGAGATGTTAAAGAGGCATAATACTTGCATGTGAAAACTAGTGATATTCGAAAAGAAACTAGAGACGTGGGCGACGAACATCAAACCAAAAACAATGTAATTAATCTCTCGGTCAAAAAGCCACTTCCTCTTGGGCCAAAAGTGAAACATTGACAGATCTCAGTCATTACTTCCTTTAAAAAGTTCTGGAAATCACTGAATTAGCAAAAGACACTGTTCATGATTGAGAAACATGGCCTGAGACCGGAACTGTCATAGTAACAAGGCCTGGGTCACTTCAGTGAGAGAGGGACCAGAGGGAGAGAGACCAGGAGGAGACCAGAGGGAGACCAGAGAGAGAGAGAGAGAGAGAGACCAGAGAGAGAGAGAGAGAACAGAGAGAGACCAGATAGAGAGAGAGAGACCAGAGAGAGACCATAGGGAGACCAGAGAGAGAGAGAGAGACCAGAGAGAGAGAGAGAGACCAGAGAGAGAGAGAGAGATACCAGAGAGAGACAAGAGAGAGACCAGAGGGAGACCAGAGAGAGACCAGAGAGAGACCAGAGAGAGAGAGATACCAGAGAGAGACCAGAGAGAGAGAGAGACCAGAGAGAGACCAGAGAGAGAGAGAGACCAGAGAGAGACCAGAGAGAGAGAGA